TTTAAATGTTGATGCAAAAGACCAGTATAGAGAGAGAAGTTGACTAGACACAGAAAATACTCAGTAGTGCAGTTTCCTTGAGAGGGCAAGCATACATATAATTAAGAGCAAAGATAAAGAAATAGATGTTATATAAGAGACACTGATACTGCCTCCTTCCTATTAGAACGGAAGTGAAGATGAATGGGTGTGGATGAGGTTTGCATGGACTTGGTGGTATAAAATTGAGGGATTTCCTGAATGGAAGCTTCTCTTTTATCTGCAAGGTGGAAGGTGGAGACTTTTAAGGAAAATAAGTATTGGCAAGGAGGGTTGGAGGTCTGAGGAAAGTGGCAAATCTTTGAAATCGTCAGTTTGAAATGAAAGAATGAGGTAACTTGAGTGAACTACAGAACTGGCAGCCTTGAGGGCCCACAGAGGACTGGAAATTGATGTCTCATAATGTGGCATTGGTCCGCCTGTTGCGGCGGTTTTCCCAGCAACGTCCAGCTGCCCAGGTGCTCGCATGGACGTGGACGGGTGGCTAATCAGAGGTTGTGATGTTGCCACAAGGATTTAGTAAAAGCACAATATGGTAAGTAAGTGAAGAAAGTAATGTGTGAAAGAGTCTAAGCTAGATAGGAAGGAAAGTAGGGACAAGAGGCTGGCGGGTAATAGAACACAGAACAACAGAACAAAGGACTGCGGGCCCCTGTAAATTCACAGGGCAGGCATGCTGTGAATAAGTGCGAGTGGGATATCTGAATTAACGATCGCAGAGGTAGAGGGGGGCAAACAAAGTTGAATTTTGGCTTGTGTAAAAAGGGAATCAAAAATTATTGTTCCATCCATTTTTTTGATATTGAGAAACATACATTTAAATAAAACCACACTCAGATGCCATTTTTCACCTCACACTGGCAGAGATGAAAATATTTGATAACACTGTGTTAGCAACAGTATGGAGAAACAGGCATTCTTATATATACATGGCTAGTAACTGTGCAGATTAATATAATCTCTACAAAGGGCAATTTCACAAATTCAATCAAAATTACAAATATGCATACCCTTTGACGCAGCAGTTCCACTTGTAGGGATTTTAACTAAAATTAGTTTACACATGTGGAAAAAGTCAGATGTATAAAGTGATTTATTGAAACATAGTTTGTGTAAGCAATTGGGTTGGAACTGATCTAAATGTCCTTAAATAAGCAAATAGTTAAACAAATTCTGATGTAGCCATATAATAGAATTCAGAGCTCTGAATTCATAAAAAATGATATAGAAATGTTTTATCTTAATATGTAACAAATTATAACATATCATTAAATGAGGCAGGAGAATGTATACAGTATGTAATTACTTGTGTAAAAGTAAGAAGGAAAAAAAAACCATATATACACTGAAATATGTTATATTTAATTTAAAAACTATAACATATGTATAATTGAAAATACATAAAATAATATATTGAATGATACTGAAGACAACTGAAAAATTAGTTGTCTTTGGATTTTATTTTTTCCGTTTTTCTCCCCAAAGCCCCCAAGTACATAGTTGTATGATTCTTCATTGTGGGTCCTAGTTGTGGCATGTGGGACGCTGCCTCAGCCTGGTTTGATGAGCAGTGCCATGTCCACGCCCAGGATTCGAACAGACGAAACACTGGGCCACCCGCAGTGGAGCGGGCAAACTTAACCAGCCCCTGAAAAATTAGTTGGCTTTGGAAAGAGGAATTAAGTAGCCAGGAAACAAGGGTGGAAATTTTCTTACTGTAGCTCTTTCTATGCATTTTAAATTTAGAACTACATTATTGAATTTCTAATTCAATTAGTTAATTAATTAAAATATATACATTTAATTATGTATTTTTTTACATGTAAATGACTGGTAGTTGACCCTAGGCTTCAAATCAGAATTTGTTCCTATAAATCACCGTATGTGTGTGTATTAAACAAAAGACGGAAAACAAAGAAAATATCAAAAAATACTTTCAAAGGTATAAAAAATATGACAAGTAAAGGAAAACATATCAATTACCATAATAAGGGTAAGTGGGTTAATCTTTCTTATAATTAACAAAAATGATACTATAATAACAAACATGATATGTTGATCTTCCAAACATTGTGATTACAATATTTAAATATACTATTTTGTTTAATTCTCAAAGCAACCCTATAAAGAAAATTTTCTTTTGTCTTTTTTGCTGAGGAAGATTCACCCTGAGCTAACACGTGTTGCCAATCTTCGTCTATTTACAAACCACCACAGCATGGCCACCGATAGACAAGTGGTGTAGGTCTGCACCTGGGAACTGAACCTGGGCCACCGAAGAGGAGCATGCCAATCTTAACCACTAGGCCACCAGGGCTGGCCCCAAAATACTTTTATTATGCTTATTAATGAGATGAAAAAAATGAGAGTGAAAAGAGTTAATCAATTTGCACAAGGACACATAGCTAAGAAATGAAGGACTATATCTGTCTCCAAAATCAGCAGCATATTATGACATTAAGTATAAAATTATAAACCTCTTAAAGAAAAATACACCAACACTGGGTTAAAAAATAACAATCCATATGATACTTATAACTGTGAATACAAAATCACAAAAATGTTAAAAATAAAAGAAATTGTGAATATATATGTCAGATAAATATAAACAATTACACAAGAAGTGACCAAGGATAGTAGGTATCCTATTTTCAATGTTGAAAATAGGAAGGAAGGAAAAAAGAGAAAAGGAAGATTGGAGGAAAAGAGAAAGCGAGGTTGGAGAAAAAAGAAGGATTAATAATAGAAAAGTAGGACTTTAACTTCTGGTAAAGGCAGTGTTAACCAACCATCTCAGTGAAGCCAACTGGAAAAAAAGAAAAAGAAATTGATCTTTAAAGTATCAAAGAGCTGGGGCTTGCCCCGTGGCTGCGTGGTTAAGTTCGCGTGTTTCGTCGGTTCGAATCCTGGGCGCGGACATGGCACTGCTCATCAAACCATGCTGAGGCAGCATCCCACATGCCGCAACTAGAAGGACCCACAACTAAGAATATACAACTATGTACCAGAGGGCTTTGGGGAGAAAAAGGAAAAAAATAAAATCTTCAAAGTATCAAAGATTAACAATATTGCAAGGAATGATTTTGCTCAAATCTAGAATCTTCAAAGGAGGAAGCCCAGTTCTCTAAGCCACTTTTGCCCTGAGGGTATTTGCAAAATGGGTTTTGACAGATTTACAGGGAAGGAGTACAAAAGCCAAAGTTAGCCAAAGGTAATTAATCCCCTTCAAGTTTGCCAGTCTGATAGGACTTCCAAAGGGCTCCATCTTCAGAGTAAGGGTGAACTGAAAGTAAAACAGCTCTCATGTAGACTTGTGGCCTGGATACATAGGATCTCAATGGCACAGAGAATGACACATAAGGACCAAGAACTAGCAGAAATAAGAGACAGTTACTTGGGGGGCTGGCCTGGTGGCGCAGCAGTTAAGTGCACATGTTCTCCTTCTCAGTGGCCTGGGGTTCGCCGTTCGGATCCTGGCTGCGGACACGGCATCACTTGGCAAGCTATGCTGTGGTAGGCATCCTACATATAAAGTAGAGGACGATGGGCACGGATGTTAGCTCAGGGCCAGGCTTCCTCAGCAAAAAGAGGACTGGCAGTAGTTAGCTTGGGGCTAATCTTCCTCAAAAAAAAAAAAAAGAGAGACAGTCACTCAGGCTTCTTTCCACGTATCCAGGAGTCACCACACAAAACAGACACACATTTTAAAAAGATATTAAAAAATATTTTGCACCACCACCACCACCTTTTGATCCAAATATCCAATGAGACAGACCCTCTTACATATATATATATATATATATATATATATATATATATATATGTATGTATGTATTCATTCTTCTCTTCTTCCCTACAAACACACCTTCAATTTTGCTTGCAGCAGCAATTTGTCCAGCTAAAACTGTCACTTTCTAGCCCAATTTGAGATTAAGACTGGCCTTATGATCTCATTCTGGCCAATTAATGTAATTAAATGGGTAGGACTTCCAGGAAAAAATTTTTTAAGCAGTAGATTCTCGTTGTACGTGTTTTTACTCTTTTCGCTTGCCTTTCCACTTCTTACTGCTTGTTTGGAAAAACGGCCGCCATCTTGTGAAACTAAGGACAAATCCCTCATGGAAAAGATGGTGAAACAGAAAAACAGAAGGAGCTAGGTCCTGATGGCATCATTGTACCTTCATACTAGCCCCAACTGCCTACTTGGGCCTTTTGGTTACACGAAAAACAAGCAAAAACATGTATTTAAAGCCACTGTCAGTTGTTTTCCTGATACTTAAACACAAACTCTTTTTGGAACTTATATATTTCAGGTCTAAACCTCAGAGAAAACTGAATTATTATCTTGCTAGGATGTCAAGGCTGCTTTTTGAGTGGATAGAGGACTTCTGTTACTACACACTACTGCCACTTTGTCATCCACTGCGCTCAGAATACACTTCGAACTCCTCAGCCTACATTCAAAGCTCTGTGTAATCAACCATACTCCACCTGTTCAGTCATTTGGCTGGATGTTCCTTACAGTTAATCTCCCAAGTTTCCATCAAGAAAAGTTCTTCACAGGTTCTCCAAAGCCAAAGACAGTCTGACCTCCAATCTCTGTTCTCACTCCTGCGAGATTTCCCAGACTGTCTTGCTCACATCAATTCTTCCCTTTATGAACTCTCTTTGTACTTACTAGTTATATCACTTACTTTGTCAATTAGTGATATACCCTTCGACAATGTTATTTACCTCATATGTATGTATCCTATATTTTCAACCAGATTGAGTGTTTCTAGATACACCTCCTTCAACATTTAGTACAATGCAATAGGCAAGACATGTCTAACTTATTGAATAAACAAATGAAAAACTGATGAATAAATAAATCTTTTCACATTCTTGATGATAGCGATGATGCAAGTTTCTTTTCAGAAGGCTTAACCTCCATGTTTCACATCTTGCCCATCTCTACTTACTCCAAAAGAGTCTGAGGCATAACATGATGATACATCCTAGTGAGTCACCTAGGCAACCCCATAATGACATCCTTCAGAATACTGGATACTTGTTGCTTCTCATCCTCTCATCTGAAACATTCTATAAAAATAAAGAATAAGGCATTACTGTGTGGCACGTATTTTGTTTTCATCTATGTAAATTTTGTGATATTAAAATGGTTCTAGAAATTTAGATGATAAAACATATTTTTAAATTGGTTGTGTGTTACATAGATCAGTTTGCTGCATCTTTCAAATAAAACAGAGAAAAAATTATTGTAATTCCTATTTCAATTTTAGATCTTTTAAATAATGTATAATTATACTCATTTACTAATGGCAATTAACATTTGTGAGGCATTTACATTTATAAGGTGCATTCACATCTATATCCTCATTTATACCACTCAACAAGATAATGATTACCCCCATTTAATATGAAGAAACTCAAATATGTTAAGTGACTTGCAGTGAGTGCCAAAACTGGAAAATATTCACAGGTTTTTTGATTCCAAATCCATTTCATTATTCCCTTTGGGCTTCAAAGGAAGGGCTTCCATTGAATGTTAAATTTAAGATCAAGAATAATAAGGTCTTTCTATGAGTTTAAGGTCTTTAGATAATCTAACCCCTTTTTGCTTTTGTTGTGAAAGAAGAAGCCATTACTATCTGGCATGGTATTTAATAGCATAAGCTCTAAGGCAGAATACCTCGGTTGGAAGCCTTATTAGCTATGGGATGCCAGGAAAGTTACTTAACCTCTCTGTGCCTAAAATTCCTAATCTGTGAAATCAGTGCAGTGATAGCACTTACGGGATTTATGTGAATTTTAAAGAGCTCACCACAATATTTGACCCATAGTCAACTTCCAAAATGTTATTATTACTATTATTTTCTTAAAGATGACTATTCCTTGTATTCTGAATAATATTTATTATCTATATAGTATGCACAGTACTTGGCATATTGTCTTTGTGTCTCATTTACTTTTCCAAATAGTCAGTCCTGCAAGAAAAATATGATTATTCTCATTTTACAAATAAAGATATTGAAGTTGAGAGTGCATCAGTAGCAAGTCCAAGGTCTTGCTGCTAGATATTCTGCTTAGATTCATCTTACCTCAACCCTTGTTCTTTCCATCTCTCTCTGTTGCCCCTTTAATTGAACAGATGGACTGAATTTCACGTGATCTTTAGTTTGGTAAAGTCATAGAGATGGTGTGTACATTGTTCCCAGAGGACAAAGAGCTGCACTCCCCCAGCATGGCATCAGAGCGCCTTTGTTCTCAGCCAACACACAGAGAATCAGGCTGCATGTGCTGCCCAAGTAGAGTCCCAACAGGAAGGTCGCTGTTCACTCCAGGTTCTCTGATCATTTTATGCAACACCAATAAAGGCACTGTTTTGGGCTGTGATTCTCTTACTCTAGCTGAAAGGAAGATCAGTCTGGTAGAAAGATTGATACCAAGAGGGGAATAACGAGCTTAATCTCTTTCTCCCACAACCACCCCCATCCAATGCACATAATTCTAGGAAATCTAATGGATTCAAAAGAAGAATTTACTTAAATAAGTTTAGGTATCTTATCTTTTATTTAATAATAAAAATCTTAACTGCACTACAGAATCTGACTTGTGAAGAGGTGTGAAGAGGATAAAAGAAATGTAAACTACAGAACTGTAGAAATAAAAGCAGAAATTGTTTGGATATTGGAACAGACTGCAGGTAGTGGGAAGTCTCTAAGGTGGGACCTTGGTTTAGGAGGTAGTGGGATTGGTTTGGAGATTAAGAGATTACAGTGGGTATAAATCTCAGTCTCTAAATGCAAGTGTGCAAGATAGGTCCCTTTCTTTATTTTCTTTTAACCAAATTAAGTCTGACCTTGAGTTCCTACCTCATTCATTTGATAATAAACTCAATTTGAGTCTTATTTGTATTTCCCATGGCTGTACTAGCATCTAAGAAGTGCCTGGTCCATGTCGTTTGGAAGGTAGAGGAATGACCTCTAGACTTTAGGCCATTATGGCTACCATGGACATTCTCATTGTCACAATGAGTGTCCAAAAGACCAGAGGGTATTTTCTCTGCACTCCATGTTTGAAACAAGAATCTTTTCCAAGGCTAGGAATCATACCACATACAGTCCACCATCCCTAGGTACATATAGGTCTATCTCCTTTCAGGTCTTGCCTCCTCAAGGTACCAACACTAAGTGGCAGGACATCCTTGCTTGCTCCACTCCAATTCATACCTATTTTCCAACTTGTTTTACAGTCTTAAAATATCTTCCCTTCTCCCTTCTAATTACCCCTTCTCCTTTCAAATTCACTCCCTTCTCCTCAAAGGCAATAATCACAATTTCTTCAATAAGCTCAAAGAAATATTGAAGACAAAGAACAATTAACAGGAAAATGTTCCCTATATTATATTGAGTGAAAATCAGCATGGCACAAAACCGTAGATGTCAGATGGAAAACTTTCAATCAAAATTTGTGTACATGTGCCAGCCCTGGTGGCCTAGTGGTTATATTTGGTGTTCTCTGCTTCAGTGGCCCAGGTTCAGTTCCTAGGCATGGACCTACACCACTCATCTACCAGTGGCTATGCTGTGGTGGCGGCTCACATACAAAATAGAGGAAGACTGGCAACAGATGTTAGCTCAGGGTGAATCTTCCTCAGCAAAAAATTAAAATAAATAATAAACTAAAGTAAAATTTATGTATAAATTCATATATAGAAAATAAAGACTAGAAAAACACACCAAAATGCAAAGACTGGGAAAACATGTCAAAATGCTAACAGTAGTTATTTTCATCTTTATACAGATTTTTATAAAGCCAGAAGGCACAAAAGGAGGCCAAAAGAAGCAGCACTGGAACTCTACCTGAGGAGGTTATGGGTGTTTACAGGAGATTTTATTTGAACTGAGAACTGCAAAAGGAGGCAGCCTCAGAATCCAAGGTTCATAACATGAGCTGCAGACTAGCTTTCCAGGCAGAGCTCAGCTGGCAGCCCTTCATTCTCTCAGAGACTGTCATAGGTTTGGTTCTCTGGGAAGCAAACACCAAGATGAAATTAGACATACAAGAGATTCATTGGGGGAAACACGTGTGAAATTGAAAGAGGAGAGGGAGTGGCAGGAGTGGTGGGGACAGCCTTTCAGGCACCAGTGAAAGGAGATAGTGAAAAAGGGAGGATTGGGTAGGAGGAGCCTGCTGTTCTGAGAATGTCTTTGGGAGCCCAAAAGCAAAGACTGTCTACGAGAGAAGTCCTGTTCTGGGCCCCATGCAACACTGGCAATAGGTAAACAGACAAGAGCATCATTTCTAGGTTTGGAATGTATTGCCTTCACAACTCAAAGAGGCCTGTCAGGTGCTGTGTTTACTTCTTTGTAATAGGGAATGCAGCCTGCCCTGGTGGTCTAGTGGTTAAGATCTGGCACCCTCATCTCCATGGCTTGGGTTCATTTCCCAGTCAGGGAACCATACCACCCACCTGTTGGTTGTCATACTGTGGGCGCTGTGTGTTACTGTGATGCTGAAAGCTATGCTACTAATATTTCAAATGCCAGCAGGGTCACTCATAGTGGACAGGTTTCAGCAGAGCTTCCAGACTAAAACAGACTAGCAAGAAGGACCTGGCTACCCACTTCCAAAAAATACTGGCCATGAAAACCCTATGAATAGTAGTGAAGCATTGTCTGATATAGTGCTGGAAGGTGGGATGATGGCACAAAGAGGCTGGGCAGAGTGTACCCACTCTGCTGTACAGAGGGTTGCTAGGAGTGGGAATCAACTCATCAGCACCGACAAAATGGGGGATGTAAGGTGCAGTGATTTGTCTTTTATTTCAGAGAGGATGTCCTAGCATGCCCTTGTTCATGCCCCTAGAACCTTTACTGAAGTGGCCAGCCCCTGAATCTCCATGGGGTTTATCTCTCCTCAGGAGTACTTGTGTTTTACCATAGCCCCCAGCATGCCAGCTCGCTCTTGCTCATTCTGCCCAATCAGTCTGAGGTCATTAGTTTAATTAACCAATGTGATGTGTTGCAGGATGTCCAAATGGTCCAGATTTCTTCAGACTATACTATAGCCAAGAGTGGGATACTTAACATAGCCCCAGGGCAAAACTGAATGAAGTGTGAACTGTTTCCACTTCTTTTTTCAGAAAAAGAAAAAAAATGCATTTGCCAAGTCAAAAAAGCCACATTCCATATGTCTGAGACCTCCTTAATGTGTTACAGCAGTAATTCTATATTCAGCAGCTAAGCTGCACTTTGGGCTACTACTTGGTTGAGCTTGCAGCAGTCTACAATCATCTCTAGGATGTGTCTGATTTCTGCAGAGACTAGACCAGCTAATTAAATGCAGATATGATAGATATCACCACCCTGCAGCCTTTAGGTCCTTGCCTGTGGCACTAATCTAGCCAACTCCTGGGATAAAATTGTTGTTTCTGATTTACTATCTTGTCCAGGACAGCAGCAGGGAGCCAGTTTCAGAGACTTCCATTTTTCTTCCCCACTATGGCAACTATTTCCCCACAAGCCAAGGACCTAATATGGTGGATACTCAAGTTGTCAAGTATTTTCATCACTATTAATTTGGGAAGTAGGAAATGCTTACCAACCCAATGTAAACTAGACTTTAGCCAAGACTCCATTTATCACCTGTCTCCTATAAGCTTCCATTCTAAAAGGGAATCTCTATCATGCTTTGGATCTCTGGGTATCAATATACACCCAGAATCTGTGTCTGGTAGTCCTCAAAATGTCTGGGTATCTCCTTTTCCCCAGTATATAGTCACCTGAGTAAATGACTATAGACAGTGGTGTGCTGGCAACTATTTCAACAACTAGCCCTCAAGGGATGAGTAGTGGTGGGAGGGATATCCTCTTTTGTAGTGTTGGCTGATTTCCACAGTGTAAATACTCCCAATCATGACCATCACTTTCTCCAAGTTCTAAGAGCCAGTTATAAGAGCCACTCTAGGAGTAAATTTGCTCCACCTCCCAGCATTCTTGCCAAGAAGTTAAGTCCTATGTCCTGAGAAAGTGCTTCCAATCAGTGAAGTCTTGCTTATTGTCTTATTTGTG